GCATCATTTGATACAAATGGAATTACTTAAAATATTTAGACATAGTTAAAATTTTGAAATGACACTTAAAGTGTACTAGTTCATGCAAAACTTATGACAAAGATTATAGGAGTTAGTCTCTCTGACTTGTCTGATTTGTGATGTCTGACAAGTCTGACTTGACTGATTTGTGAGTAGGTGATCTGTAAATTGCCTGGCTGCTTGTGGTTTGGGTTGGTTAGGTAGTTAATGTGTTTCTCTAAGGTTATTTAAGTAGCTCTGTGGTTTTTAAAGAGGTAGCAGTGAACTGAGAAACACCCTTACCTTACTGGGGTTTGGAGGTGGGAAGTTTCATATCTGTGTTTTAGTGTCAGGCTAAGGCAGGGATGAGATACCCAGCACCTTTATGGCTGCTGTTGTGCCCTGTAGTTCCTGCATACCTTCCTTTACACAACACAGAATAGAAAAAATTTTAACTTGGAGCAAGGTGTGCAGCAAGCTGGTAACTGGGAGAGCAGTGGCTGAGCAGAGCCTTTGCAGCAAAGAGCTCTGCAGAGACAGTGGGAGAAGCAATCTCATTTTTTTCATTAATTGATGTGGTTTTTGTTCACCACTCTTAATGGTGATAAGGAATTTCATTTGACCCATATTTTGTTTATCTTTTAAGATCAAGCTGGTAATTTCTCCACTCTGACTCTTCTGTGCAATCTGTGTGCAGTTCTTTTCTGTGTCAAGATGAGTCTGTGCTGTTGGCAGACTGTTGAATTATACTTCTTTCATGTCTGCAGTACAGCTGTAATAAAATAGTAACTGCAGGTTTTTGTGTTTCGTGATTGTGCCTCATTAGATTGAATTTCAGAACATCCTCTTCTAGTTTCTGCTTACCTTTTTTAAGTCCTAGATCTTTGCACATCTTGTATCACTCTCTGTATCTGCTTCTGGTTTTCACAGAATCACAGAATTAATCAGGTTGCAAGGGACCACCGTGGGTCATCTGGTCCAACATCGCTGCTCAAGGAGGATTAAAAGCAAAGTTTTCCTTTGCTTCCTTTTGGTCTCCTCCTTTTACTAGCGCCATTTATCAGTTGTATGGAGGTCTTTGGTTTTAGTATTTTGTTTAGTTATTTGTGCAGCCACTTCTTATGCTCCTTTGATCATCCTTCATATGCATTAAACAAGGAGCCATAAACTGCAGTCATGCAGAATTTGAAAGAGCCCTCTGTGAAGCTTGAGCTGTAGTGGGGCTGCTTGGTTACTTTGCTCTCTGGCAATTCCCTATGTCGGTTGATTCTGCACAAAACTATCTGCAGTACAGAGCAACCAGTGCAAAAATAATGAAAAACTTTATAATTTAATGCCTAGAAACTTATTTTAACCTTTCTCTTTCAGATAAGCATTTTTGCTGTGAAGACTCTCAAAGATGGGTTTTAAATTAAAAAAAAAATGGACCTTATTAAAGGAAATAAAATGCTGTCCTAGAAGTTAAACTACAACCTGTATACTCTAGTAAACTCTTCCAAAATGCTTTTCTTCTTTAATTAGGAAAGCCAACGTGATCAATTAATGGGGAGATCAGTACTATTCAAATATTTAACTTACCTCTTTTTATGGTTGAATTTTACATGTTTTTGGAGGATCATGTATTTGCTTTCCAATGATAAATAATTAAACCAGTGTTTTGTGACTTGGAATATGAATAAAAACAAGATGAAGAAAAATTCTTATATAGAAATGGGTTTAGCTGTAACACCATGTGTTTGCTGTTGTGTGAGCCCTTTCTCAAAGAACATTTGTGTTTCTTTTCCTTTTTTTCAAAGATGAACAGGCAAACAGAACATTTTATGTTCTTGGCTTTACTATTTTGCCTAGGAACAGAAAAGTTGAAATAGTATAAAAATTGCATTGTTGTCTTATGGCATCCAAAATATGGTGGATTTTCTGAGACAGATTGTGCTAGCAGAAGCATGATGTGGACTGAGAAAATAATTTTTTCTCATTTTGAAACTTCCTTGTTAAATGCATATTGTGAAGCAAACTGTGGTGAGAAGTACTTGTGTAATCATGTGGATATTACCTGGGTAGTGAAACCTGATCTTTTTTGGTAATTGCAGATTTCCATAATTCCCTTAAGAAGTATAGTGGATCCAGCTTTCTGAACACAGTCTACTTTGATCATACTGTTCCCTAAGTAAGAATTTATTGAAGATTGTAGCACTCTTTCCTTCCTGTATGAAGCTATATTGCATGTGAATATATATGTATATGTTGAAAATATGTTGATGTACATTCTGTTGCACAGATGTCTTATTTCAGTAGGAAAGTTGTTTGATTCATAGATCAGTATCTAACATAAGGAGTAGTAAAGAACTAGGCAATTCTCATGAAATATGATATGAATGCAAGCTGCTACTGTTTACCTGATTATTAAAGGCAAATCAGAACCATACCTTTTGAGATTCAGGTCTGACAGTAGGCCACAGCGGGATGGCTGAGGCTCAGTGGTGCACAAAAATCAACAGCGATAAATATTTATTTCACAAGAAAGTGTTTCAGAATGAGATTTGACCAAACCTGTTTGAGGGAACAAATAAAATAAACATCTTATGGCAACTTGGATCCATTTCCATACGTTGTTTTAGGCTGTTTAAGGGAATTAATGATGGTGAAGATGGTAAGGTTACAAGGCAGGGAGGTTGCAGGACTTAAAAAGGCAGAGAGGAGGAAGGTCATAGAGGAGGAAGGAAGGAAGGAAGGAAGGAATGCAAAAAGGGACAAGAATTAAAGCTGAAGAAGGAGAAGATGATGAACTGTAAAACTGGCAGAAGTGCACGTACCTCAAGCAGCAGCAATTGGAAGTGGGGCAGTAGGAAGCACATGGTGGGTAGCTGTGTACAAGGAAACGCAGGGCTGGGAGTAGCAAAAAAGCCAGAGACCCTGAGAACATGGTTCAAAACTGCTGTGGTGCAGTGAGGGCTGGCAACTCCCTGGGGGCTGCAGGGACACCCCATGGGACTGGCAGTCAGGAGCAGGAAGCCAGGGGCACGAGGGCAGCCCCAGCCCCGAGCATCAGGCATCTCCTGGGGACAGGCTGAGGCTGGGGCAGGACATGGGCCCGTGGGCATGTGGGGGTCAGGATCAGACACAGCCTCGAGATGGCAGGACATGGCCACGGTGATGTGCATCACTACAAACAGTGGTAGGAGAGTAGAATGGGGAAGGCAAGGTGTGCTGTTTGTGGCTGTATTTTGCTGAATGTGTGAAGTCTTTAATTAAATGTCATAAACATCCATACATTTTGTTTCACGGTTGTATTTGTTGATGTATGCTGTTGTCTTCTTCTGTTGTTTAAAAGTGGTAAGAATATGTAAACAATTATAAATGGGAGATAAAAATATAGTGGTGAGATTTGTAGCTTCTGAAACTGTACTGATCTTGTTTACCTTATTTATAATCAAAATAATCAAAAATTATGTGATGTATAATTGCTCAGCAATGTGAAAGAGAAAATTGTTTTCCGTCTCATATTTTATTTTTCATGTTGGTAAATAATAATATTTCACAATTATGATAAAATGGCTTGTCATCTGGAAATAAGGAGATGGTTTGAGCTTTCCTCTTAAATGTTATTCTTACTCTCTAATCATTGCATTAATACGTCTCCCAAAATGCTCTTGCTCTAGCAAATTTCCCTAACTGTAGTGATTGAAAACTGGTCATGCATTTATGTGCAATGGGAAATTGAAGATGTTCCTTTGGGCATAATTTTTCTCAGAAATATTTTAGCATCATTAATAATGTATAAGTGTAACAGGCTTAAGCAAGCCATAGACTAGGTCGCTTCTGATCTGCATGATAATTATTCCTACGTGGCAATTAGTATTACAATAAGTATGTAAAAATGGTGCTGGGAGGAGAATGTACATGTATTTTTGGAGACTAGATAACATTTTGATTGATGATATGACCCATTGCAATTCAAGTTGCTTACTCTGGCATGGTATTAAAAACTTCTCACACTATTGCAGTAAGAGAAGAAGAGGTAATAAATATTAGTGGAAAATCATAAGAAAAAGAATCTTGCTTTTAAGGCCATTTAAGGTAGTTGTGGTCATTCACCATTGTAATTGTAATTGTGACTGTCTCTCTGTGGGTCACTTTGGGCAGCTTCTTCTGTGTATGAACAGACTCTCAAAGTGAGACATTCGTTTGAAGACAACAAAGTGAGTGCTTATTGGTTCACAAACATAAAAGACAAGATAGGGTTTAATGAACTCCTTGGCTAGATATCCGAATGTGTCTGGTCTGCAACAGGAATCTGGAGCTGGCCAGGCAGCTGTGAATGAGGTGGAAGAAGGCCACCCTTCTTTCTCCCTTCAAACAAGCCTGCCTTGTTTCTATGTTGCTGTCTGCCACCTTCTTTGGGCTTTGATGCCTTTCCACATTGATGTTTTTCCTCTTGAATCCTTAAGCTGGTAGCAAATCCTGTGTCACCAGTCCTACCTTTTTTTGTGGTTTTACCTTTCTGAGCATGCATAGCTGTCCTCTGAAATTTCTGAGTTCTTTCCCATATCTTGGCAACTTCCTTAGAAGTCAGCCTGAACCAAGGTCAGGCTGCCATGGCATGTCTGAGACACAGCAAGATTGATACCCTAGGGAGAGGTCACTCAGCAAGAATATTAAGCACTGAAGTCACATATTGTGAGACATCAAATGAGGAACTTAAATGAAATTAATTATTCTTACATTGTAAGTGATTCAGGAGTTTTAAATTTTATGGGGGTTTTAAAACAACCAATAAATTAAAATACATTAAAAAATAATCTACAAAATTTTATTTTAATGCTGAACATTTGCTTTGTGGTTATGCTTTTGTTGCCATTATTTCAGTTGTTACTAATGCAGTTTGAAGAAGCAGGAAGCACCAGTCCTGGCCTTGAATGCTCAGTTCAAATCTCCCTGCAGTTGTTTTTTTCAAGATTATCCAGACACACAGCCTGCAACTATCCTTTCTTCTGTTCTAGGGAGTGGGCCCCATCATGATCGATGTTGTGTTTACAACCAGAGCAACATAGTAGATGGAGTTTACTGCCTCCCAATAGCACACTGGATTGAAGTCTCTGGACATACTGATGAGATGAAGCACACAACCGATTTCTATTTTAATATTGCAGGACATCAAGCTATCCATTACTCCAGGTAAAAGAAATGTGCAGAGCTTGGCTGGTGTCAAATGTTACAAACAGAAAATCTGAACTGGCATATCTGAAAACTGCATCTGAAGTAGGGAATGTTTATATGTATGTAACAGTGAACTTTAACAAAGATTCAGCACCTCTTTGCAATTAAATGTCAGTTTAGCAGATCCTGTGCTCAAGGATACCTGTACCCTGTATGGGACTGTTACATTGCATCACATCTGAAAATGTTTTGTGGCAATTTTTGGCTGGCCTTTTTCAAATGCTTGTCTATATATGTGTGTAAAATTGCATGTACATTGTGTTTTTGGGATGATTTTCCTGAAGAACATGTCCTGGGAAACAAAATAATATAATCCAGCACCGGAACTTACTGGTGACATATTGTCACTCTTGTGTGGCAGCCACTGCAATTAATGACAGCCTCTTTTGATGACTTCTGCTTCTGGGCATGTATTTAACAAAATACTAAAAATAACACAAGCCTTAAAATTTTGTATTCCATAGTGTTCACTTGAGTCCACTGTCCCATCCTGGCTTGAATTAGGAGACAGTAAAGGTCGAGGAAGGCACCCACCCTTTAGGGCTGCAGATGAAGCACAGGTTGTATTTAGGGCAACAGGCTGAGCACTGGAGGTTAACAAAGTGGCACTGAGGAATTTGGGACCCTGTGTAGCTTTTTTCCCCATCTCCAGTCAATTGATACAGCAGGAAGTTTGTGGATTGACAATAGTTGTGTGAATGCCGGCAGTCCTGCCACATGCATTGCAGAACAGTTAGTTATCCCAAAGGGATATGTATTTTTTTTAAGAAATCAAACCACCTTGTACTTTCATTAGGCCCTAGCATTGTTTTGTGTGAATTTCTCCAGCCACTTTATCAGCTACACCAACCTCACCATCGTGTCTCCTCTTTGTGCACTTTATCTCCACCCTCTCACAGGGTAGGAAGGAGAACTGTCTTTTCCTCATTAGACTTGCAGTGTGAGAGGGAAAGATTTCTTCCCCGTTGGTATCTTTTGGAATAGCAGGGATTCATAAACACTGTCAGGCACATGTAGGTATTTGTGGGACCTTTACCCTGAGACCCCCTCAAGTTATATAGTATGCCTGATAGCCTATAGTGTTGTGTAGATCTCAAACATCTGTTTCCAACATCCTATCAGAGTAAAGATCTTATTTATTCCAAAGCACAGACTTGTCAATCCCAAGTAATCTTTGCGTGGCAGAGACTTTTTTGAGAAAGAAGAACAGCTGTCAGAAAGCGAGTATCTAAGTACCAAAGGCTAACTTATCTTCCTTCCCAGAGGCAGCAGTGATCCATTTAATGCTGCCTTATCTGCATGACTATGTGTTTCAAAGATTAGGTAAAAAGCTGCAGATTCTGCTAGAGGATATTTGAAGAAAATTTTCTGGGCTGTGTAGTCTTTTGTAGATGAGGGTCTTCTCCTTCATTCCCTTCTCTCACACACATACCTTCTTTGAAACGCAACCTTATATGTACATCTTAGTAACTCTTCTCTCATTTCTTTGAGCTATATTAAGTAAGTGTGCTCTGTAACAGTCCTGTTACATAATTATTTCTAATACTTTGAAGATATGCAACCTTAAATGTTTTTTTAATTACTAACAGTTGGGGGCAGATTCACCATTCTGCTGGTTATAACAAAGCAGCCCAAAAATACTAGCTATTTTAGATTTTTGTTGTTGGTGGTGGTGGTGGAACAGCTGAAATAACCTGATGAAAATGCCTTTATTTTGCAATAGATTTATTGACTCAGAGCAGTACTATGAAGATTAATCTTATAATTTTTTTTAATACCCATATACCCCCCATACTCCCTGAAGCAAAACCAAAACTTAAACAGAAGCAAAAAGTCAGTCCTTCTGCCTGTACAGTTAAATGTCTGAGTATGATCAGATCGTGGTTTTCCAGCTAAGATTACCTTTTCCCATCCTGTACTAAAGGGATCCCTGTTGTTTCAGGGAGAATTAGGACCATGAATTCTGAGTCCTGACACCACTTGTAGGATCCTTACAGTGGTGGAGGCTGGAAAGAAGTGATTATCAATGAAAACTTTTGATGTGAGCCCGTCCTCTATGTTGCTCCACTTAATAGGTCTGCCATTATTATGAGAATTAATGAGAATTAATTATTATGTGAATTAATGAGAAAGGAAGGTTTTCCTCTGTCAAAGGAGGTTCCCATGTGAGCCCTGGGACTGATTTCATTTATTCTCTGTTGAATCACAATTAGAAACAGTTGCTCTGAGCTTTGTTGCCATCTTGCTTCTTCATAAAACATGAGCTTCTGCTTTAACTGGGCTGCAGCAGGATGAGGAGGGCCTGCCTCTGGCTGGGGCCAAAACCAATTTTGCATTATGCTGAGGCTGAGGACAATGCTCTGAGGAATCAGATTTTTCTTATTCGATGTAGATGTATCACTCATAGTTTAGTGAACTTACATTTAAACTTATATTTAGAGAACTCATTTTGTGTTGGTCATTCAGGTAGGAGAATATATAATGTGGTTTTTAAGCACAGCAGGAGTTGAAAGTAATTTCTTATAAGTGTGAAGCAGAGCCTTTCTACAGCTAGGAGTCATGACTGATAACTTCATGGCATTAATATTCACTTGGTTTGGAGATGTAATGACACCTTTAACCAAAATCTGATTCAGGAAAAAAAACCAAAACAAAACCAAACAATCAGTTTCTCTTTTGTGCTAGATATTACTGCAATAAGATGGCTTCAAATTGCAGGAGAAGTAATCTTCCAAAGTAAATTAGAGTTATTGTAATCTTTTCTGAGAGAAGATGACTTCAGAAAATTTGTGAATCTGGACCATATTATCTCTGTTTCAGTGCCATCTGTGAAAGGCAGAAGTTCCTAATTTGTAGATGTAGTATACCTTATTATTTGTATAAAAACATCTGCACTTCTCAGAAGAAAGGCATTACATAAGAGCAAGAGAGGGAATGCCAGCTGAAATTACAAAATCCTTAAATAATATGTTAAAGACAATGATGCTTGATGGCAGAATTAGGTGCTATGGAAATGAATATCTCTGATAAGAAAAGCCATTTAGTTAGTTTCCTATTTCCAGACTAATTTTAGGTGTGTGCTTTTTGTGATTATTTTTTCTTAAATCTGACAAAGAAAAATAATTTTTACATGCTTTGCATGTAAAATGCAGATAAACTGGAATGTGTAAGTGAATTCCTCAGACAACAACCTCTGTAACTGTGGTATTGTATGGCTGTTAAACATTTTGGAGGAAAATACACAATTACCAATCTACAGTCAGGGGAGTCACTACATGAGAGTAGCCATGGGTCCTGACAACAATCTTTTGAGGTACATGTTTCTTTAGTACCTTTTTTGCATGTTATATATATATATATATAATATATCTCATGTTTATGGAGTGATTGGGAATTTGACAAATGTGTTGCTATCATCAGTGGTTTTTTTCCCTAAGACAAAATTAAGGTAACGATAAAAGAAAATTTACTCCCTTGCTTGGAAATATTATTTTTGTTTCTCAATGGTAGCAAATGAAACACAATTTATGATGTAGTATTTACAAATGCTTTGTGGCTTATTGGTGAGAGTTTCCTACCACACTGCCAGAAATATAGCTTATAACCTAAGTTAGGTGTTGAGTGGAAATGATCAGGAGAGTCACATAAGAAGCGTATTCCTGCTTAGTAAATGTTCCAGTAAATGTCCTTCCTTCCATAGTAAATGTCAATGTAGATAGGTGAGTGAATGAAGAATAATCCTGGGCAAAATGGAGATGCTTCTTTTTTACCTTGTGAAGGCACAAGAGCAGTATTTTGCTGATGGAGCACAGAATTTCTTTCTATGGGAAAAAAGAGCATTTGCTTGATTGATATGCATCTTTAATTAGGTGGTAAACAAGAACTTAGTTGAGTATATTTGGTTCAGTATGAAATTAGAATTACCTTTGAAAAAGATACAAGCGAGAGCACTTTTTTTTCAGTCTTTAATTTCTCTTTTTACTGGTTGTAGCTCATTCACAAAATAAAATGCCTTTCTGTTTTAAATATAATTCTTAGCTATTTTTTATTACTGAATTGTAAAAAAGGCTTTAAAGAGTAAGCTGTCACAAAACCCCCCTAGAGTGCAGTGACATGTGCTACCATAATAGAAAGCTGCACTGATATTTTATGCCTACATTGTAAATTAAGAGGTGATGATGTCTACAGAGATTACCATAATTAACATTAAAAGCTGAGAGCTAACTGTCCCTCCTGCCTAAAGAATGCTAGTGATATTAGAGAAAAGAATAAGAAATAATGAGCTCTGGAACAAAATTGATTGATTGTATTCTAGTAAAATAGTCCTGATCAAAAGGACCAATAAGAGTTCATCCTTTGATTTCAGTACTTGGGGTTTTAACTGTGAAGTTATCTGCTCATTTTATACATTAAGTAATGAAAATATTCAAAAGCACATTTTTGATTTGTTTGTCCCATAAACTAGGATATCTGACTACTCCTTTGAATTGTTTCATTGTACCGAGCTATAGTCTGAAAGTAATATGAATTGGAACCATTGTTTACTTACCAATGGGAATAATCTTTTATAGAATGGTTCAAAGGTTCATTCTATTTTTTGTCCTTTGTGTGTCTTCATTTTTTTCTACATCACCCCCAGCTGGAGCTGGGAAATGCTTTTACTAGCCTCTGTTGTGAAGAAAATTGGTTTCAAATCAGTGTAAGAAATGACATTTAAGCAAATTTTTATTTAAGTTCTTGAAAGTGAAGAGGGAGTGTGAGGTAACAGGAACAAGAGTGAGAAGACAAATTATGAGGCTAGAATTTGATCTGGTTTTAGTCCTTATTTGTTTTCATGTATTTAATTTGAGTAATCTCTGTATTTTGTAACAAATGCATTTTTCTTCCGCATTTGTTGTCCATCCAAACAAAAAGCTTCTCCTTTTGTGAACTCCCCACACTGTGCCCTACATAATAAT